TCTAAAAAGGTTACAAAATACTGTTTCCCACCCAAGCTTTGTGGTGTAATTTTTCCACATACATCTGAATGTATCACCTCCAAAACATTCTCTGCACTTTTGGAATTCTTACAAAATTTCTTTCTGTGTAACTTTCCTGTGATGCATACATCACAATTTAATTGACACTCATCTACACCACAAAACTTTGGTAGGGTTTTCATATGTCCAAATCTCTGATGCCATATGGCTTCACACTTCAGGGCCTTGGCCTTCATAAGATTCATTCTCTTTTCTATTTCCATCTTACTACTTATACTACACATCAAACTCTTGCCTGACACTGTATAATATTCACACTGAAGATGGTATAATTGATCTCCCTTTCCCCTGGCTACAAAAATGACAACTCCATCCTTTGAGACTGTTATTATCCCATTCTTTATATGTGCTTCACAACCCAACCTATCTAATTGTCTCATTGACAACAAGTTACAATCCAAACCAGGTACATATGAACAATTATTTAATCTTAACTTCTTGCCTCCATATTCATTTGTTACCTTTAAGGCTACACTCTCTTTACCCAGCAAAGGAGTACTCGTCTTCCTTTTCGCCATTATGACGTTTCCTCTTACACCCTCATTTAAGTTATTGAATATATCCTTGTAGGGAGTCATGTGGTGGGATGCTCCCGAATCAAGAATCCACAGATCCCTGAACTCCTCGGACCTACTTCCTGCATGGGCTGTCATGACAAATTCCTCTGTTGTTTCAATGTGTTCCTCCGCTACTACAGCTATTTCTTCTTCTTCTTCATTCTCCTTTTGAACTTCTGCTATTTTGGCGGTTCCCCCATTATTCTTTAGGACATTAAACTTTGGACACAATTTAGCAATATGTCCAGCTTGATTGCATGCAAAACAAATTACATTCTTCTTTACATTTTGGTCACAATTGATCCTTTTACTTTGGTTTTTGAATTTTCCATCACGTTTTGGGTAATAATTATTATTCTTCTGGTACCTAGACTGACTTCTAAGTAAAAAGGCTTCTTCTTCTTCATTGTTCTCAAAATCTCTGTGAATTTTATCTTGTTTTTCTGTCAGGTATAATTTGCTAATTACCTCTTCTAAGGATGTTTTGTCCTCTTTACTTGAAAAGGATAACATGAGATTTTCATATTGTTTGGGTAACCCGCTGAAAATAAAACCAATATGTGCTCCTTCACTAAACGGTACATTAGCATTCTTCAACTTCAAAATTAAATTTTGTTTCCTCGTTAGGTACTCATTCATGCTTATTTCGTCAGTCTTTTTGGTCAAAGCTAATTCTTCAATCATCAAGGCAATATGGACCCATGTGTACTCACAGTTTCGCCTTTTCAGCTTTTGCCAAACTTCTGCAGCTGTAGTCAGATGTGCTATCGACGGTACATATTTATCTTCTATATTCTCGGTAATAAAGTTAAGTGCTTCCAGATTTGTTTGAATCTGGCCTGGTGTCCAATCCTCTTCTACTCCATCATATCCAGGCTCCACGGCTTCCCATTGCTTCCTCTTTCTTAGGGTTAGCGTTACTCGATGTTTCCAGATTGTATAGTTATCGTCATTTAAAGGTTCTAGGCGTCTTCGGTAAACTTCTTCTGACATCTTGAAATATTATATCGTCTTATTTACTTCCTTTCTTCAAAATCCCATGCAGCATGTGGGACCGAGAAATGGCCGTCTTTTGCCATTTAGGTCCGTATCTTCACTTATCCTATTGTCTTCACTCGTCTTCTGAGTCTCCAATCCGTTTTATCGATGTCCGGCGCAGTGCTTGAAGACTCTGGGCCCATAACCTGTTGTTTCCTTTGTGAAATCACATTGGATCATCGAGGTAAAAACGGATAAGAAATGAAACGCCTTCGTCCAAATCTAACGTTTACTGGAGACTAACTTCATTCACAAACATTACAAGATACCAAAGGTACATTAACAAAAGAAGTAGCAGTGGGTGTGGTACCAACTTATGAACAATATATATCACATGATAAATATGGCCAACACTACAACTATAGTACTACAACATGGGCAACAAACGAAAATATGCTGGTGGGGTAATGGTAACAGCATTTAGGAAGATGAGGAGTAAATCAATCTATGGGACTTCTATTGACAGCCTCAGTACAGTACCATTAGGAGGAGTAAATCAAGAAGATTACAGATGGGACATGCAGCATGAAACTATAACAGGACTTACAGATACACAATCAAACAGCTTTCCAGTAGTTGTTCTTGTAAGCAGTTCTTCAAATTCAAGGCTCAACTTGTGCCTAAACCAGCGCCGGACTTTCTCAGCATTTTGAAGTTCCTTAAACAGAAACTGGAACAGAAGATTCAGCGCCAGGCAGCTCTCACGCTTAGGAATGTTGCTGCTCTGCAAAGCATCCACCAAACTCTGCAACATACACAACCATTTTTACATTTCATTTAATCCTGAAGTATGACAAAGTTTACGGTCATCTCAGATGTGACATAATGTACTTTGCAACAGTCAGGTTTCAACATTCTTGAGCAACCTACTGCCTCCATCTTGTACCCTGAAGATGGAGGAAGCAGGTTCCTCTGAAACACTGGTACTCATATCCAAATTATATGGCATCACATCCTGGGACAACCATAATCTTGATACTTACTGCTAAGAAAATCTCATACCGCATCTGAATTACGGTGTGTCAAAGCAAATCATGTACACGTAAAGGGTCTCTCATTTTCTTCTCATAGTTCAGAATGAAGAGAATTTAAAGTGAAAAGATTGACAAGAGTAAGTCCTGTACAGTTCATTTATAAACAGCTGTTTCATATTCATATTCGCATTTAATGTGTCTTCCAGAGATCTATGTATATAGATATAGAATCCATCATCGTTTATACTAGATAACAAAAGAATAAGATATTTAATCATACAATATTAATCCGAATGGATAACAGAAAGTATAACACATACATATTGTGACGTGTTGCACTACGGATTACACCCCTCCCACCCCCGCCAGCCGTGACATGCCGAGCGGAGCCGAAGTGAGCAGAGCCCCAGCACGCTGGTTGCTAAGCAAAGCGAATAAACAGCAGTGATGTAACACGGGATGCCACAGTTACTACATAGCAGTAAACAACTCCCAACAGCGTTGCTAGGCTATCGGCTACCATGGTGCCAGACAACAGTGGTGCCTATGACGTGGCTGTTTTCTGTGTTGTCCAGAATGGGGCTAAATAAGGAGCAGCGAAGACTATTCACAGTTAGTTCTTCAGTTAGGAGTTCACGAGATAGTTACGAATTAGCCAGGCAGTCAACTTTGAGTTGTAGTCTAGCATCTGCAGTATAGTATTTGTGATACTGCCGATGGCAGTAATTGTGAGGTTGTAAACTGTGTGACTGTAAGAGCGAATGTGCAATAAATTCGCTATATCCAACACAGCGTGAAGTTATTTGTTGCGTGTCATACCCCAACACGCTACAATATGCGTCTATGATAGGCCACATATAATGTATCATCCACTCACTATGCAAGGTACCACTATAATAAAATAATTGATCATACAACGTACGTCCGACTGTACATTCATTTCACAATAACAATCATTTATGTACAAAATATGAAACATGCACACACATCTACAATAGGTCCTTCTTCTAGCCATGTTTCAATTCAAAAAATTCCTCAATAGTATAAAAGGAATTCTATAATAAGAATGCTGTCAACTTAGATTTAAAGCTCTTTGTGTTGTTAAACATAGACGTCATTTCAGTCGGCAGATTGTTGAAGATCTTTACTCCCATACTCACTGGTGCTGCAGCTTCAGAAGCAACTGTGTGGGTAGTTAGGAAGAAAATACACTCTGACCAGGTACAAAAAGAAAAAGTATAAAACCCGGTACATCATGAAGACAGACTGACAACATCCAAAGCACCTGCTAACACACGAAACTACTGAAGCATTATGAACAATATTTTGCTGCCTATTTCTAAACAATTAAATAAAGAAGAAAGAAAACAATTTCAAGTCTTTCCTGGAGGTCAAGGCAGAAAGGTCAATGAAAGCTCCACATAACGTTTGATGAATGAAAACTGGTGGTCAGTGATTCTGATGCTGTATACCATGCCTGGCTTTTATCCCTCAGGAAATATGAAGAAAATGTTTACAGAAATAAACCTACATGACCTGGAAACTGATATCTGGGGTGCTGTTATTAAAATCACAGACTACCTCACACTGTTGGAAAAATTTGTTTATACTAGGTGGTTCAAATATGACTGGGACTGATTTTTTTTGTAAACAGGCCGCACTGCGCAGCAGCTGTGCGACCTTGAGAGAGTGAAGCCACAACCTCCACCTTCCATCCTGTTAGGGTTAGAGCCTGTTCAGTCCTGTCTGGAAGTTGCTAGAGTGATGAGTGAACAGAAGGTACCACGGAGCATGGAACAACACATTGTGATCAAATTCCTCGTTGGAGAAAACGTCCCATCTGCTGAAATTCACCACAGACTCCAACAACAGTATGGGGAAGAGTGTCTCTCATGGACCCGTGTGTTTGAGTGGTGTAAGTGCTTCAGAGAGGACAGAGAGCGCGTGGAAAATGAACCGCATGATCGTTGGCCTCGAACATCCGTCACCAAGCCAAACATTGATCGTGCAGACGCACTTATTCGTGAGAATAGGCGCATCCCTATCAAGGAACTTGGAGCAATGCTGTCCATCAGTGTTGGTAGTGTAGAAGACATCATGAAATACCACCTCCACTATCGCAAGGTGAATGCACGGTGGGTACCACGCACTTTGACAAACGTGAACAAAATGGTGCGCATGCAAGTTGCCAGTCGTCTCTTACAGCAGTCTGAAGATGAAGGTGATGCATTTTTGAAGTCTATAGTGACCACCGATTAAACGTGGGTGCACTACTTCATTCCCAAGTCCCAGCAGTCATCACGCGAGTGGCGGCATACCAGTTCTCCCAAACCCAAGAGAGCGCGGAGGAGCCGTTCGGCAGGAAAAGCGATAGCAACGTTCTTCTGGGACTGGCAGGGGGTTATCCATGTAGACTTTCTGACGGATGCCAGAACAGTCAATGCAGCTTATTACTCAGACCTCCTGGCAACAGACGTGAAGGAAAAGATCCGATCCAAGCGGAAGACAGGTGGAAAGCGGGTAGCCTTCCTTCAAGNGGGGCACCTGCAGAGCACAGCAGCTTTATTTCACATAGAGATATTGGGTTTTCGGACTTCATCCATCGTCCTGGTTTTAAAATAAGTGTGAAAAACACGATGTTTCGGAAACTGGATCTGTTTCCGTCCTCAGGTGAGGGAAAACACCTATTCTACTGGGTCCCTTAGAAAGAGCTAGCCTCAATCACTGGACCTTAAAACCAGGACGATGGATAAAGTCCAAAAACCCAATATCTCTATGTTATACACCATTGTCAGGATCCTATAGTAACTAATAGCAGCTGTATTATTTTTACTTTTCAGCTAATACAACGTTCCTTCAGCCCTCTTCCTACTCATCTCAAAGTTCTACAATTTTTCTTCTCCAAAAAAGGCTATCAGAGCGATGTTGGGATATGGCAATACAGTTTCATGTAGAAACATATTTAAAGAGTCAAATATTTTATCATTTGAATCACAATATATATTTTTGTTGTTAGTATCTGTATTGCAAAATAAAGTTATTTTACCATCAAACATTGATTCTCATACTATTGATACTGGACAAAGAGAAGATTTGTATCTACCTCAAGCTAATTTAACTATTTATCAAAAAGGAGTTTATTATGTGGGTATAAAAATATTTAATAAACTGCCCATATAGATCAAGAACACATCTAATAATTTTAAAAAGTTTAAGGTTGTATTAAGGCATTTCTTGAACACTCATACTTTGGAAGAATATGTAAATAGATAACTTTTATTATTGTTGTATTCATTGTACTGTCCAGTTGTGTAATAACTATGTATGTATTCTATGCTCTATATTATTTTATTACATGTTCTATATCCATCTTTGGATCTCTTGAACTTACAATAAATACAAATACAAATTTATGCATCAAAGGAGATATACCTGAGGAAGACTGAAGTGTCCAGATATGGGCGCTCCTGGGGGGCCGACATATGGCAGGCACTTGATATAGTGGTTAAAAACATACCACTGCACTGCAAGAGTTGCCACCACACCTGTCCCTGCAGCCACCAGTATCACAGCCAGCAGCAGCAGCAGATCCATGGCATGAAGCAGTGGTCTACATTGCAGCAGGAGCAGTGAAATCTGCAATTCCATATGACCAAAAGAGACTATGGTTGTGAGGCAGAGATCGAATTCAGCCTGAACTGCCTAAATCATAAAGACAGGAAAGCAGTCTTCTGGGATATGGCGCCATGTAGATGTTGTGTTAACCAACGTTTCAGAGGAATGTATCGCCTCCATCTTCAGCGTAGAAGAAAAAAGAAGAAAATCTGCAAGCGAAGAACTAGTGTAAGCAGGCGCAAAGAGACTAATCCTCTGAAACGTCAGTTAACACATCTACATAGCGCCATATCCCAGAAGACTGCTTTCTTCATAGTCACCGCCATGAAAACCTCAAATCTTACACAGGATGAATTCTGATTTCTTAAATCTCTGCACTCCACATCTCATACTTCACTTCATTAATTATATAAGAAAAATTTGTAAATTCATTGTTGTAAATATCTCAATTTGCTTCTGCCTGGATAAATTTCAGATTATTTGTATCATTTTTTTCGGGAGGGGGGGTTACTTCAACCACTTCAATCAAACTGAATTAACTCTGAACAATAGATGATGGAATACAAGGGACAGTCAGTAAATACATGTAAGATCTGAGGTTTTCATGGTGGTGACTATAAAGCATGCCATCTTCTGGGATGTGGTGCCTTGTAGATCTTGTGTGAACCGATGTTTCAGAGGAACGTATCGCTCCCATCTTCAGGGTAGAGAAATCCACAAGAGAAGAACCAGAGTGAGTTAACGGCTGCAAAGTCTGCAGCCACCTGCTCACGGTGGTTCCTCAATCACATATTTTTCTACCCTGAAGATGGATGCAATACGTTCCTCTGATATGTCAGTTCACACAACATCTACACAGCGCCACATCCCAGATGACGGCATTCTTCAGTCAGTAAACAGGTCACAAATTAAAGTAAAAGAGCTGTAATAGATGTAATAGGTTTTCTATGTGTATCACTAGGTAGCAGCACAGTCCAGCTTCATGACAGCCTACATGGCAGACATGCATGCAAATGTTCAGAGGCTGGTTTCAGTAGTCAAATTGGTGATGTGCTTGAAGAACATACTACCGAAGAGTTACACTCTGTTGTGCAGTTCTTTTTTGAGGGCAAAAGAACTCAGTGCAAAGGATATTCATAGAGAAATGTATCCTGTTTGTGGCTGGAAATGTTTGTTGCATAATGCGGTTCACAAGTGAGTAGTAAACATTTTGCTGATGACGAAGCTAAAACAGAAGTGCAGAAGTGGCTGAGAGCGCAGTAAAAAGACGTCTATGCTGCAGGTTTCAATGCACTGACAAAGTGATGGGACAAGTGTATCAATGTTGACAGAGGATATGTTGAGAAATAAATGTTTTTTTTCAGGTTCAAATATCACATGTTTTATGTTTTATATCCATTTGTGACCTATTTACTCACTCTCCCTCACATTTTTGAGAAAAATTATAAAGTTTGGTTCGAGCCTCATGCAAAGGAGGATATATGTTGGACTGTTGTGAATTGCATTTCTCTCGCAACTCTTAGTATAAACTCATACAATCAGAACTCTACAAATTTCAATGAACAGTTTCTGAGATGAAACATGTGATCAAACACACAGACAGGAACACAAGTAGCGTGTAAGTACATGATAGAAGGCCTAACTCTTCATGGTGCAGAATTTTCCTCAAACAGTCAACAGTTAATCCATCCAATTAATAGTGACATGTTCAGTACATGTGAAGTTAACAATGTAAGACAACTGATTGTATCATAGTAAAGAAAGATAACAGCAGTCATGAATGCAGAAAGAAATATAAACTAAATGCCTTTGTATACTTCACTAGAATAAAATGTGTTGGCTTCCACCACCTCATTAATTTTGGTTATATAAGCAAAAAGGAAGCGGGATAGCTTGGTCAGTATAGCAATGAGATACGGGCTGGACAGCTGGGGTCCAATTCCTGCAGGGGAAGACTTTTTTCTACTCCACAGTAACTAGACCAGCTCTGGGGCCCACCCAGCATCCAACTGAATGTGTACCGGGGGTACAGTGAATGGGGTGTGAAGTTGACCACTCACCTACACCCAGTGCTGAAATCAGGAATGGTGGAACTATACCTCCACTTCCCCCTGTGTATCTTCATGGCATGGTGCTGAATTAATTACATACTGCAACAACTTTACTTTACCCAGGTACTAAACTATAAAAAATTGGCTGTGAACTCATCAAGAATGTACTATGTAACGTCACATTTCTTGAGGTTATATACTGTATACAGTAACATATATAATGCTCTTCGGTACAGATACCGTAGATGTGAACAAGTAATCGCAATGACTGATATATTGCTTCTATTTATGCCTGTTCGTTTATAAACTATATACTTTACCTTAAACGTAATATATCACGTACGTAAAACTATTTTGTTTTATCGATCTAAGTTACTGCTTAGCAGTACATTTACATCTAAGAAAAGTACTTACAGTCTATTTTAATATTCTCATTGAAATTGCTGCGGAAAATACTACGATACTGGTAGACTGTGGGTATTTTCTTTTTCATTTTGCTATATTACTTCTTGTTTTAAGTATCACTATGAAAGCATTACGTCCTATTCCTTGCACAGTTCAACACCAAGTTCCACTAATGCTGAGTAATTAACGACGTGATTTGTTGCAGTTCTTTACGAATGAAAGATGTACTTTGCGGCTGTTTCACCATATATCGCGAATACACTTCATAATTTAGCATTTAGCGAATGGACCTATACACGGATCGCTATAAACATCTCCGAACCTTATTAACATTCTTCTCACATCCGCCATATTCACTCATCGAAAATGTCAGACCTTGCGTCTGACTGTCCATACGGGTCCATACTCCCTAATTACCTATAATCAGACCGATCAGACCCGTGATAAGTGGAATTACGAATATACGAATGGAATGTGTGGGGAGGTGGATTTCTTGGGAGTTGTCAAAAATGGCTGCGAGTGTTCGCTGTGATGCTATTGATCATGGATGACATGCTATAGGGGTATTATTGAATTGAATTTGAATTGAATTTATTTACATTCTATAAATCCTAAGCAGGTTAGTACCTTTGGATACAGAACAAGTCAAAAGGTTACATACATAAGTACAGGCAATTTTAGCTTAAAAATTAATATAACTTAATTTTACATCATTCTCTATTTACATTGAAGTATTCATCTAAAGAGTAGAAGGAATGAGCATGTAGATAATTCTTTAACTCTGATTTACACTTTTTATAATTTCATTGCCCAAGTTTTTAATACTTTGTGGCAGATTGGGAGGTGTCAGAAATGGTCCCAAATGTACTGAATTATGTAATCTACATCTTCTCTCTATATTTTCACTAAATTGGCTGACATTAATAAATATATGAAAAAGTTATTGGATTAAAAATACACTCAGGAAAGGTCTTGGCCCTAGTTGGACAGAGTGCCATCACATTTGTCATGTAAGGTTAGATTCCTCAGATGGCATTCTACCGACTGTCAACCATTCATTCAATCACTTCTTATGAAATTTGAGGTTCTCGCGTTGGTAATTATGTACACTATTGGCTTCTAGGGTATGGTATTATGTAGGTTGGCATATATATACAAATATTTCAGGGGAACGTGCTGCCTCGGAAGATGGAGGCAGCTGATCCCTCTAAAACATTGGTCCTACCAAACTACACAGCATTATATCCCAGAAGACAGAAATTTTATCAGTTCCCCTTTAACTGTATAGAATCTCTGCATGTAACAAAATATTTATCTTCAAATTAATAACAAACAATCCTGTTATGCAAGCCATGAATTGTAGAGCACAAAAGTTTTCTCAGGTAACAAAGGTGAAATTAATACATCACTGGACCAGTGATTGAGATTGGCTCTTTCTAAGGCGCCCAACTGAGTTGGTGTCTTCCTTTCTCACCTGAAGACGGAAACAGATCCAGTTTCTGAAACATTGTGCCCTCTATAACCTACAATTCCAGACAACAGAAAAAGTTAAAAAGCCCTTTAGAAAATACCATTACTCCTCAGTTAAATTCAGGCCACCAGCACCACAGCAGTGGGAGATTTAAACCCCCTTTTCCAAGAAGATAAAGGTTGAATATTCTCTGCCATTACAATAAAACTCCAATATTTGGAAAGTCAGAAGACCTACTTTTGGACTTTGATAAGAATTTATTATTCTGATTGAATTTTATGGAAGTACTGTCAACCAGAACAGTTACTCCATTACAGTGACTAGAGTGGGTGTAATTATGGATTAGTTTTCTGAAGCAGCAGAAACTCCTCTCTTTGATGCCATGCTCAGAGAGGGTCTGGGACCACTCCAGCCTCATATTCAGTGGGTCCCATCAGGTATTTTCCTGTGAGATAGATAAGCCAGAGCTTGAAGCCACTGGTCACTTTCAACTACTACAGATGTATAGAATGAGAGTCAGGATAGCTCATTCAGTATAGTGACTGGTCATGGGTTGGACAGTCCAGGTTTGACTTCTGGCAGTGCAAAAAAAATTTCTCTTCTCCACAGCATCCAGAATGATTCTGGGGACCGCCCAGCCTCCTGTCCAATAGATACCAGGGGCATTTTCCCCTGACGTTAAGCAGCAAGGATGTGTAGCTGACCACTCAGCTCCATCTAGTGCCAAGGTCAAGAAAAGTGAAGCTATACCTCCAATCCCCCATATGTCTTCATGGCACAGTGCTTAACTAATAAAGCATAAGGACAACTTTAACTTTACAGAGGTTTAGAATGCATGGAGCACTGCCTCCATGCTTTATACACCCACAGGCCTTGGTGGTCAGGCATAGGTGTAATTTTTATATTTTTATTTTTATAAAAACATTGTCCTATGTACTATGTGGACCATGGGCATTCCTAGTTATATGCTCTTCAAATCATGAGGTCTTATGGATGTTGTCCTGGGAAATTATTTTAAGATATGAGACATAATACAAATCTGCTATTGAAGATCATATACTACTTGTAGCTTAATATGACTTCAGTGTCATTTGATAACAGCACTGCACTAACAGAGGGAAGAAAAGCATAAATTAGCAAAAAATAAAGATTTAACTACATTACCTTATTTTCAATTTGCACATTATTATACAAACTACTCGCCAGTTCAAAAACAAGTGAAAGCCATGAAAACAGACTAGAAGGAAAGCACAACATGAAGGAGAAGACATGAAAGGCTGCTTAGTTCATATGTAGCCATGTAAATGACAATGGAATGGTTTTACAGACTTTCAATAAATTCAACAAGCAATGTAAATTTAAAAAATAACATATATTTACAACAGAAATGATCCACACATAAATATAACCAAACACATGCCATTTTAACAGTTCATTATCATACATGTGTTACAACTGGTGCACAAAAGGTTAATATTTTGCTTAAAATAATGTCAACATTTCTGAGCAGCATCGTTTGCATAAAATATTTGGAGAGTGTATAGGAGTGGTGCTGTCTGTTCTCCAAAACTACTGAATGGATTTAAATTATTTGGTATTAGGATCCCATATAGAAAGCTGCTACCTAAATTACAATTTGCTTTGATTGGCCTGATACAACTACTTTACATAGAGTTCAAATCAAACTTTGATTCCATGACCTCCGCCAGGTTTGAACCTGCGTACCTTGAGTCATGAGGTGGGAACGTTACCCCTAGACTACGGAGGCCGCTAATGTAGTTCATGTAACAGATGTTATTAAGATTTACACCTTCTTTACACACTTACTTCCATCTCTAAGGCAACTCTGTTTCCCAACACTCTTTAATTTAAAATAATATTAGAATTAAAATTAAATTGCTACATGCTTTGGCCATACTTGGCCATCCTCAGGAAATTGTTCACTTGTTGAAATTGCTACACTACATTAGTTCTTAAATTAAAATGTTCTAATGTTATACCAGCTTCTTTGTTCACTCATTAAAATACATTTGCTTCAGAACACCGCTCTTTACCTTTACTTACGCTACATTCTTGCAGCATCCATGTTTTCTGTAATGTATGAGGATAAGTCAATAAGTAAGTTACAAATGGATATAGAACAAATAAGAGTATTGATTTGAAAAATGCTTTTATTTCTCAACATAATCTCCCTGTACACTGAGGCACTTGTCCCATCATTTCACAAGCCCCTGAAAACCAGCAGCATAAAATTCTTTGGGCTGCTGGCGGAACTGGGCATGTTCACATGGCATGGCCTACCTCATAATGCATGACAGGTTAGGTTTTCATAAAGTCTGTGCATGATGGGTGCCACGCATGCTGACCCACAACACAAAATGCAAAGAATGGGTCTGGAATTACAGCATCTCAAACGCTACAACAATGAAGAACGCCATATGCTAGACCGAATTGCCACAGGTAATGAGTCTTGGGTTCACCATTACCAGCCTGAGACAAAGCGTGCGTCAATGCAGTGGAAACATCCTGAGTCGCCTGCCAAAAAAAAAAAAGTTTAAGGTGACACCATCCTCCAGGAAAGTGATGCTCACAGTCTTCTGGAATCACGAAGACATATTGCTCACTGCATACCAGCCTCAAGGGGACGCAGGGTGTTTCCACTGCACTGACGCACGCTTTGTCTCAGGCTGGTAATGGTGAACCCAAGACTCATCACCTGTGACGGCTCGGGCTAGCATATCGTGTCCCTCATTGTGGTGGTGATTGAGATGCTGTAATGCCAGACCTATTCTTTGCAATTTGTCTTGTGGGGTCAGCATGCACAGCACCCATCGTGCACAGACTTTGCGAAAACCTAACCTGTCATGCATTATGAGGTAGGCCATGCTGTGTGAACACATCTGGTTCTGCCAGGAGCCAAAATAATTTTATGCTGCTGGTTTTCAGGGGCTTGTGAAATGATGGGGCAAGTGCCTCAGTGTACAGGGAGATTATGTTGAGAAATAAAAGCATTTTTCAAATCAGTACTCTTATTTGTTTAAGTTCTATATCCATTTGTAACTTACTTATTGACTTACCTACGTATAATACACATTCAAGGTTTTTGTTATCACTAAAATTTACAATTTTTCTTTTTGCAAATTTTGAATTTTGGCACATAAATATAAAAAGAAAGTAACATACAGACACACAAACATAGCAAATAACATATATTAATAATATGTCTTTGCATATTGCAGATAAAAATAATAACAACACCACGACAATGATATTCATAGGGCTAAACAAAACATATATTATACATTACTGAAAACATGATGCTGCAAGAAGGTAGCACAAGTAAAGATAAAGAGAGAAGTTCTCAAGCAAATGTATTTTAACAAGGGAACGAAGAAAATGGTATAACACCGGAACATTTTAACTTAAAAACTAATGCAGTGTAACAAGTTCAAGAAGTGAACACTTGCCTCATGAAACATGTTTCACTATATATATCTATATATACCGATTGGGCTATCCCAGCTCTCAGCTTTGCAATAATAATATGAAATAAGTGGGTGAATGCCAGGGCTGATGAGACATGTATGTAGTACAGTCAATAATTACGTGGAATGGCTGCATAGAGTTGCTGTTATGCAGTACAGTGGATACATGGAGCCATGAGATGGTGCTATGTCCATTCTTCTTTCATCCCAGCAAGAAGTAGTTGTGTGCAGTGTATTCGAAAAGAAAGTCGCTACTGTGAAGGGTAGCTGTCTGTGAGCGGCAGAAATCAAGAATGTCACAATTTGAGCATGGGGCAAACATCAAATTCTGCCAACTAGCAAAACGTTTCAGATGTTCAAGCAAGCGGATGGTGAAGAAGCCTTGGCCGTAGTGCTGTGTTTAAGTGGCACAAATGTTTTGTACAAGGGAAAGACAGTTTGGAAGATGGCCAAGAATTGTCAAAACTGAACTCAAGATTCAAGAAGTTTCAATGTTAGTGCATGCCAGCTGCTCCCAAATTGTAGATAAAATCACAGCAACAGCAGCAGGCATTAGCCACGATACTTGCCACAAAATTCTGTCTCATGTCCTAAACACGTCTTGTATGACCCGGCACAGTGCTCCACGTGCCCTGACGCAAGATTAACATGGCAATCGCACGAGTATTTTTTCTGACCTGATCAACAGAGATATACCAACAATGGCAGGCTTGCATAGCAATCAACAGCAACTATTTTAAGTGAGGATGTGGATATGTGTAAATGTATGTATCTTGTAATATGGTGCAACACGGAAACAGTCCACGAATTTATTAACTGTAGTAGTAAAATTGCAAAGAATGCATTTGCAAACTGTGTGTCTTCAACTTAGAGCACATCTTTGCAGTCACCTAACAATTACAATGATACCCTCATTTAAGATGTCTCTGGGTAGCAGTGAATTTTAACATAATATAGAAATAAATTTTACTTGGGAAAAGTTTATTGCTGACATTACTAACTTGCGATCAATGAAACTGAACATTAAATGAGTGAAAACCTGAAACTGAAGAACACTAAATGGGTGTTCTTTAATAAGGTTTCATTTTAATCCAAAGAGAATATAAAAGCTTGGAAAGGTTATTCATTCATTCATCAGTAATCTGTCAAGACAACAGGTCCACAGTCTCTTCCAAAACAGTTCCTCCATTTGATGCGATCTAGAGCTTTCTCCTTCAAATGAAAATATCCTCTTCTGTCCCCAAGGTCGTCCAGCATCTTCTTATGTCTTCTTCCTCGTCTTCTGGTCACTTCTATCTGCCCCTCTATCTTTCCTTCAATAACTTCTTTTAGAAGGCAGTTACCGCGTAAGATATGACCAATCCAATTAGCCTTCCGTTTTCTTATTTTGTGTAGGATATTCCTCTGCTCAGTGACTCTTAAATAACACTTCTTCATTTCTCACATAATCGGTCCAACTGATCTTCTCCATTCTTCTCCAACACCACATTTTGAAGCTTTCCAGGTGTTTCTGATCTACTGCCTTAAGTGTCCAAGTTTCAGCCCCATACAAAGCAATGCTCCAAATGTAGCATTTCACTAGTTTCTTTCTCAAATTTAAGTCCAATTTGCTGGTAAAAAGATTCATCTTCTTGCTAAATGCAGCTTTTGCCATGGCAATCCTAGATTTAATTTCACACGTACACCTTCCATCATCTGTTAGGAGAGGTTATACTGAACAGAAAAAAAAAAAGGTCTCAGAAATATACACATACTTCATATAATCTATTTTCAGAACACAAATTTTTACTGTATGCTTACATTTACAGTACGTATAAGGGCAGCTAAAACATGTGTACTTTAAATCTGTCCAATGTGTTTACATTTATATACTCACACAATATACAATTTCTTTACACATTTTCTCCATCCTCCAGCAAATAACAAGACAGTGTGGAGAGACCTGCTAGTCTGTTCTAATCAATGTCACATTGTACTCCATTACAGGATGTCTCTTGGAAGTCACTGATTGCAACACTACATAAATTTTCATCTTCAGTTCACCGAATCAAATTAAAAGAACTTCACCACAAATACAATATATTCATTTCTTATACAGACAAGCTGTTTGTATCTCTACACCCTATAGCTATTCCCGCCGCTTACGCTTATCACGTTCTTCTCCTCGTCGATCACGGTCATCCTTGGGACGCTTGCTGGCACGTTTAGCCTGTGTTAAGAATTTGTCCAAGCCAAACGGATCCTCCCCTTCCTTCTCATACTGAACAGGTCCACTTCTGGTGGCAGTACGATCAGTACCGCTGAACTCTTTATCAGGCACAAACCTACAAGCCAAATCATTCTTTAAATCCTCCTACAATCAGCATAAAATGGAATAACTTGTTCTTTGACCTTATTGTCCACAGAGCTAACAGAGAAATCAGAGTGTGTAATTTGTTGAGATAAATATATGAGGACATCTCCAGCCAACAATTTTGGGTCACTTCATTATTTTCTATACACTATCCTTACCAAGAGGAAAAGTGAAAATGAAACCATGAAGATGGGTTGCCCCTGGCTGTGTGATTTTTACACACACATACACCAGTATACACAAAGAAAAATGCTTGCTACCATTCAGTTCTGAATCTTCCATCTTCCCATCTCCTGTCTCAAAATGTAAATATAGTATACAGTACTGTCCATTCTAATGGAGGAAAGATGCACAAATAACTAGAAAATGGACAATCCAGGTTTACGGTGTGATCGGGAGACCATTGGGAATGCTGAATAGAAAAATCTGGAAATGTATGCACAGCATCTGATTTATTCAATTATTTAAAAAACTAAGGAACATGGAATATACGTAGTGAACATAAAATTTGTGATGTTTTTCCTCTGCAACTTTTGTTTGAAACATTTTTCACTCTGATAACTATTTAGTGATCTAGGCTCAAGATACAATACATGCAAAAATGCATGAAGGTCTCTGTGTACTGTGGTCATTAAAGCTGTCAGATCTAGATGAAAAATGAAATGGCTTCAAAATTCCTCATACAATTCTCCAATATGAAATTTCATGAAAATCCGGCTAGGGGTTCTCAAGTTGTTTCATACATATATCAACAGACAGAGCAAACTTAAAACACAAATGTATAAGCCGCAAAACTGGAAAATCCACACATGGAAAATTGGGAGTATACTGTATTAAAATATTCAACATAATTTTATCTGTGGTACTGTATAGGACTGAAACCTTGTCTCTTACACTGCAGAAAAAGAGACTTGAGGGTGTTCCAGAATAGGATACTGAGGAAAATATTTAGACTCAATAGGAAAGATGTATAACAGGATTCTGGAGAAAAACGAGCTTCACAATTTGAATTCTTTGCCAAATATTATTAGAGAATCAAATCAAGGACAGCAAACCAGGGATGGCATTCAAAACATGAAAAATGTAAAATGCATGTAAGATTGTAGTCCAGAAATGTGAAGGGGAGAAAACATTAAGACCCTGGAATAGACAGGAGGATAATATTAAAATGGATCTTAAAGAAACAAGGTTTGAGTGTGTGATCTGGATTAACCTGGCTCAGGTTACAGGCTGGTATCAAGCTCTTGTGAAAATAATAATAATTCTATAGGTTGCATAAAAGGCAAGGTATTTCTTGACTAGTCGAGCAACAATTACATTCTCAAGGGCTTTGCTCCATGCAAATTGTTCATATTTAAGCCACAAAAATAATACCTATTTGTTTTGATCAACTTGTCAAGATCATCTCCATAGACATCCTTGTCCAAGTTTCGGCTAGGGCGATAGATGTGTGCACCAACGGTGCCACTCTCACGCCACGGTTTATCATACACATTGTATGATTCCTCATCCCCATAGCCAGAGTCCATGCCCTTTGTAGTGTTGAACAAACGCTGGTCAAACTGAACCTCCCCGCCTGATATGTTCTTGGCTGGTAAACCCAGTGCAATCTGCTCACTGATGTCACGTTCGCGTTCACGCTGCAGCTTTGACCTGTAACATCACAGTCCGTGAGACAAAGCTAAAATAATGTTGAAATAACATATAAGTGACAAGAATGCCAGCAGCATGGAAACACATTCACAGTACGCAGAACTAACACAATTACATGAATATATGCCCTCAAAATAGGCAAGAATCCAAACTGAAAATACACATGAGTGAAACATATCATTAAGCACCTACTGATATTCATCAATAGTGCTGTCAGCACACATTTCATTGACACAAATGGATTAAAGGGACTTTTAACTTTCTACTCAAATAAAGATGGCAGAATCTTTTCAGGTGATGAGCCATGTTGCTGCCTCATCGCATTTGTAAATGTATGTAAACCAACCAACAATCATATCATCCCTTATGATGGAAACAAGACTTCTGATCTGAACTGCAGTGACGTGTTACCAACGAAAATTTCATTGTGGATCTAATGCAGATGAGTGCAATTCGCAAGACCTAGCAAACTATTTATGACTATCATTATGCTGCACACATACATTCAATGAGTAACCACATACCAACCTCAGTTGATCAAATGTTAAAGAGGGAATATCTATCTGCCACAACAATTTTAGTATCATCAACACATCTTCTGCAATTATGATAGAGATATCACATCCCTAAACATTGCACCTAAAGAGAAGTGCAAGTGAAATAACAAGAAACAAGACCTCTGGTTCACCACATGACCATAAGACCTACCTCTTGTCTGGAGCAGCTCTAGCAATGTTGCGTTCACGCTGACGATCTTTGTGGCGTTCATAACGCAACTGATCACGCTCCCTAGCCTCTTCATCTTTATCTGCTATAAGATAAAGATATTATATTATTAAAAAAGCACTTAATTATAACATCAATAGCCAAGCAGGCTGAGAAGTGATGACATAATAAGAATTCTGAACAGAAAACAAATACCTTAGTGTCTCTCTCTCTCTCTCCTCCCCTCTCTCTGAGAGAGAGCATAAATACTTTTTAAGCTATATTATCAACTTCAATGTAACAAACATTTTAATGCATTATAATTCACAGTATCATTTACCAATATGATACTTACTGGCAGCCGCTTGAGTTCTAATGCCAGCCCGTTCCTCACGGGCCTTCTGTGCAAGCTGTCGCAGATGTTCCTCCTTCTTCTCCTTCTCCTTCTGTGCTAACTTTTTCTCCAGCTGGGCTCGCATCTCCACAGCTTCACGTGCCTGTAATAGATTCACAATTTTTATGGTTTCTGTGCTCAACAAACGGCCTAATGAAGAAGCTAGCCCATCAAAATTCTCATTACTCAAGTAATTAGAAGTACGCTGCATCTGCAGCCATACTACACATCAGTGAAGTAAATGGGGAGGGGCAAGAAAAACAAACTGTATTACCGATTTCAGCTGTTCAATTTCGTGTCATATTTGTATCACTTTGCGTGCACTGCTCACAGACTGAGGTATTAAATATCCTTACCTTTCTATCAGCGATATAAAGGGCCTCTGCCAGTTTGGCAAAGTTCTCATTAATGTGAACCTGCTGCAAGCCACGTCCATCTGCAGCGAGACGCTTGTCCAAAGGGATTGTATACCCCTGAAAATAATAAGAGTTGCCTATTTTACCCAATATGTCAGCACATGTAAGGCCTTTCCAAACTAAGTGGTTCCCTTGAAGTGATCCTCTAACAGTCAAGTGTTTTATAACATTCTCATTTCATTTCACTTCTTTACAGTAAACTACACTGTGCATTACTGCCCACAGAATTCCTTTCACTGTCAAAAATATTTAAAGAACATTAACCAGAGGAAAAAGGCATAGGAATGAAATGGATATAAAACAGTTAAGGGAGGTCCCATAAAATAAATAAAAATAGGGAATACAGAATTACAGAAGCTGTCTATATATGCATATTTATGACAACACACAGAAAACTATTTCACAGGTTTTGGTTTCTCTACTTTCATTACATGAATTCAAAACTATTCCAGTCTAACAAAATACAATCTTTTATGAGAAATTTTCTGGTAAAAGACATACTTTCATGAATGAATTTACAATTATGGTTCTTTAACACACCAATTACTAGTAGCTACAGTGACAAAATGCAATGTCTGGAGTAAGGTTAAAAAAGAAAAAACAAAGATAAAGCTATCCGTGTAACAGGCCATGGAGGCCCAAAGAGTTCTAAGATGTTGAGGCTCCCACGTATTCTAGACAATCAGCTCATAGATGACAGTGAGGCAGTCAGCCTTATGTGCCAGCTACCCTTTACTCCCAGCAAAATTCCTGGAACTTATTTATGTTAGAGTCTGAGTCCAACCTAGGGCCACATTGCAGGTGGAAGGATTAGGTCGACTGAAAAATTCTAATGACATCAGGAACTGAACCTGCGACCTTTCAGCTTCTAGCATAGTGCCTCAACCAACTAGACTATTGCGTGCCCCTGTACGTATGGACTGCTTCTGGTAATTACGGAAAACAGATAACAACTGAACAGAAACAACTTTCCTCGAAGCAAGCAATTTAATGACAGTGAGCCTAGAATGAAACCCACAGAACTCCTGGAAACCTTAGAGTTACAAAAAAAAATTTGAGAATGACTGGTCTCTCTGAAGATGTATTACTGCCATCAGATTTCTACCTCTTCGGGCCATTTAAGAACTTTCTATCAAGAAAGAGATTTGAGGACCAAACTGCACTGCAAAAAATAGTTGTGCTATACTTCACATCCCCTGGAAAGTAACACTACCATGAAGTAATGTTTAAATTTGTAAAACGATGGTATAAATGTCTGAATTCTAACGATGACTATGTGGAAAAATAAATATTAATACTGTTATGTGTCTTGCCACTGAAGACGCCGTTGGACTGTTAATTGGTTTATTTAACAACCTACATGTCTTGGCTACAATTAATTATAACACTGTTACAGGTTTCCACACTTTACAAAACCTACACACAAATCTCTTCACACTGTCCTCAGTAGTCTACTTCGACTTGAACAAAGGGACTTTTCTTTAGACTGAGAGGGGAAGAGAGAGTGGTCACGTTGCTGACTCGGAAAACAAACATTCCGAAGGTCAGCTACGCAGTACTTTTACGGACATGTGGCCACCAAAGCGAGGAACAGTGTGTTGCAACATAACATGTCCTAAAAGCCTAATTCTAGGCGACCGGTCTGCCACGTTTAAAAGCCAAATGCCTAGGCCTAGGCATCCGGTCCGCAAAGTGTTAAGTTACATTATTTTGCTACAAACTTAGGAGCATTTGCAACACCATTCCTAAATAAATTAATATGCTTGTCCTTCAAAAAGTCAATTTTTCTTCAAAGTCAGTAACATGAAAATCAATTAAAATTAATCATCATTGGCAAAACAGAACTTTTTGAGCCACTGCCTTCCTTACAATATTCTGCCAGATTTCACTCCTTTGGAGACTGCAACAATAATTTTTTCACCAATCAAGGTCATCAGCCTTTCATCCAACCTCCAACCTGGAGGGCCAGGTCTCTAAAGTTTTGTCTTCCAGTGACAGGGTGGCCCACTTATACCCCGGGCACCTGATTCCCTTTTTGTTGCCTTCTACAACTAACAGGGCTACAATATATTGTAACCTGCCACCAAAGGGGGAAGAAAGATTAAGAACATCCATCCATATAGTGGGGATACAAGGAAACCTCCAAAAATCCTGTTTGGAACACACAGAACCAGGACTGTGAACTGCATATTTTCAATTTAAAATGCAATTATCCTCTGATACATAAACTCTCCTGTTAAATACATACCTTAGCATTCTTCCAATTGGAAATGCATGGTGGAATCTTCCACTCCTTCTGTTCTTTAACAGTCACCTGTAAACAATTCATGATGTGGTGAGAATGTGGATACACAAGACTCTATGTATTAAGTTTTGCACATTAAAGAATTTAGCTAACCTTTCTTGTTGGTGAATGCATTACTGGAGCAGGAGGTGAGGGAGGTCCACGAGGTATCTTCTTGTTGATCCTGAAACACAATAAAATCTGAGCATTCTGTTTCAGCCCTTCTGCATGTACAGAGGTATCTTCTTGTTGATCCTGAAACACGATCAAATCTGAGCATTCTGTTTCAGCCCTTCTGCATGTACAGAGGTATCTTCTTGTTGATCCTGAAACACGATCAAATCTGAGCATTCTGTTTCAGCCCTTCTGCATGTACATTATATCGTAATGAAGCAAGACTCCAAGTTTTAAACATTTTTTCACAGTGTCCAGAAAACGACATATAATGCTGGAGTTATGTCAAATTTTCAACCTATCTGACAGACCATAATGAAAATTGGCAAAGAAGTTAACATGAAAAGTTATCAAACAAATTAAACTGTGATCCTACTTTCCATGAATAAAACTTTTATGAGTTCTCAAAAAATGGCCCACAGAACAAACAATGAATACAAAACAGATACGACACATAAGTGCTAAATTCAAGAAGCCATATATACAGTCCCTCCAGATTGGGGGTTAGAGGCAAGGCTGACAATCTTGCTCTGTAAAAAAAAGTTTCGAAATCCAGAGAAATGAAAACTGGATGCAATCTGGCAGAATCTTCTAAGGAAGGCTATGACTCAAAAAGGGCTGTTTTGCTGCTGGTGGTATGGCATTAGGATTTACAGACAGTAAGTTTGAGAGAAATAAAAGCAACAGACTCCTTTGTATAAGAACAAGACATACTTAAACTTTGGTGGTTCTATTGGATCTTTCTGGGCCTCTACCATTCGAATGACACGCTGTTTTGCACCTGAATTGAAGGCAGCCCCTTGCTGAGATGGTGTGTAACGGATGTACTGTGCAGGACCCTAGTACAAAAGAGAAGCACAAAACTGTAAAATGTTTATTGCAGGAATAAAGACTGAACGATTCTTAAATACAGTTCTTTTAAATAAATTGTTATACAATACTTCCTGCAACCACTGACAGAGTCTAACCTCTGATGACCTGCATAAATATAATAAAAACTGAAGTGTCTTTGGCAAGGGGATAAAAGAATTTCTTCATACTGCATACAATAGGGTAAAACCAAAGGAAAATACTTACGGCTCTCTCTGCACACCTGACTGGCATAGCAGCTGCTATCTTTGTATGTGTGAGACGTTCCAATGCAAGACGAGTTTTCTCAGTAGTCTCTTGCACATCGTCCTCTGACGGTCTCTCCAGGCTTGGATCATCTTCAGCCACCACTTCCGCTGGGAGCAAGTCTGTCAGTTTCGAGTAGATTATCTGCAATGTGAACATGCAACAAGAACCTTGCTCAAAATATTACCTAAGATAGTAACTGAACAAGACTGAAATATACACAGGGAAAGTGCAAGATTATATACTTAACGCAAGACTTCCATGCAAAAATTAGAGAGACAAAATTTACTAACATTCTATCCTGAAGATGGCAATAGTACATTCCTCCAAAATTTTGGTACACATCTATCAAACTACATGGCATAAAAGGCAGTAATAAGTGAATATGTAATAAAATTCTCATGCTAAAGAACAGGTTTTTGGGAAAATGAGAAGGCATGAGATTAAGTGTCTAGTGAATTCCTGTCAGACAGCCTTAGACACTTCACCCAGACTGTGAATATTTTCTCTGAGATGAAATAAAATGAGGGCCTGGAAAGAATGAAGGACAGTATGCAGCAAAATGGCAGTCAGAAACACATATAGAGCATTAAAATTTTAAGTCCATTTTTGTCAGCTATACTGAGAATTCTAGTCAATGTTCAAGACAGTACAAACGGGTCATCATAAAGACAGTGTGCTCACCAATACAGGTTTCACAGTGGTAAATACTGGACAAACACTGATCTGCAGCACTTGATTCAACTGCAGGTTAATTCTAATACCAACATTTAATACCTGGTTGACTCAGTTTGATCAAGGCTAAGGATTAAGAAAGGCTGCACCATAGCTCAAGCAGTTAGTCCCTGGCTTCCCAACGCAGCAGCCCAGGTTCGATTCCAGGTCTGGTCAAGTGGAATTTGTGGTTGACAAAGTGGCACTGGGGTGGGTTTTCTCCGAGTACTTCGGTTTCCCCTGCCAATTGTCATTCCACCAAAATCTCCATCATAATCACCCAGAGCAGGCTACACTAGGCCAATCAGTGGCTGTCGTGCCGAGTGGACCCAGTTGATTCCACCCCCCACTAAGCAGATTAAAAAAAAAGGATTAAGAACATTACCTTTTCTTTTGAGTGTCCCTGACGTGCCAGAACGTCATACTTTATCTTTCCCTGGGCATCCAACTGAACTGCAAGGGCATTTGATGTGCTTTCTTTTCCTTCTCTACCCATATTCAATGGATATTGGGCCACAGGAATCTCTGGAAATGCACCACCATCTCCGAAGTCCTGCACAAAAATGTATTATCAATATCGGATTAAATAATCTGACCTCTTATCATTACTGCAGATGATAAATATGGTTCTGAAAATTGCAGGTGTCAACCAAAAATCCTGTTACATTAGCTGGCTAAACATGCGCTATACTTCCACAGTATTTTATTACATCACATCATAATAATACAACCTTTTCACTGCCGAATTTCTGTTTTTCTTACATTACTTTTACTTATGGTTTATTTATGACTAGCTGTACCCGGCCACGCATTGCTGTGGCTCGGTCTAACGAAATATTTCAGTTCAAATGCAGATCAATCGACACAGCTCAATCCCACTGCCAACTGCGCTGAAAAATAAGGAAAACAGTTACGACAACGAAATGAAAAACAATGAAAAATAAACTGTACTCACGAAATGAATGCTATGGTAAACGACACAGCCCAATTCGAACGCAATGTCACACGAAATAATTAAATCAAAATGAAAATAAATCGAAACTGTTTATATTTGGCAGTAGCTATCCCAAGACTGACTCCTTCGGCGGTTACTTCCAGACTCTCTTCTGTATCCCCCAGCATCTGCCCCGAGACTGACTGCTTCTTGTCCAAGCTGGACTATTTATACCTCGGCGGATGCTATACAATGAGCCTTCTGTTGCCTATCACCGGGGAAACCCTGCCAGAGTCGAATCCAAAACTCTGAGTGAAAACTCAGGATCTGTGCTGTGATTTCACTCAGAATCTCTTGTGATACTTGTGACCTCGTGATATTCAAGACACTCGTGACACCGATCAGTCGCCGGAGCTACACTCTCTTATACATATAGCCAGCGTTCGGACGGGATAGGGAATACCTTATCGAAGAGTTAGTTTCATCTGTTGCTTAGGAAATGCTAGCACAGAACACCTTGTAGAAGTGTTTGGTTTCATCCGTTGTTACGCAACGGAACCTCCTATCCTTTAATCTCTGGGGAAACGTGTTTGTTGTTTCGGCAATTCCTATGCAACAGCCCACTGTTACTGCATTTCCATGGAAGTATACTTTCCGGTTTCATCCGTTGTTACGCAACGGAACCTCCTATCCTTTAATCTCTGGGGAAACGTGTTTGTTGTTTCGGCAATTCCTATGCAACTGTTATTGCGTTTCCATGATAGTATACTTTCGGATTCACGCGTGGCTGGGTACAGGTAGTAGGTATATAAAAACGCGCGAATTCGAATGCAACGTTGTGTCAAAATTTCGAGGCAACCAGTGAAGAACTTTCGGAGATTTAGGACATGGAACAAACAAATATTTACATTTTTATTTATATAGATAGATAGCTGTACCCGGCCACGCGTTGCAGCGTGCATTCAATTCATCATTGCCATCTCCAACGAAATACTCGTACATTTGTAGGAATTTATGTTGACCATCTGGGAACGGAAGCAGGGACAAATTTGTCCTTTCACTTTGAAAGTTGGCATGAATTGAGCTCTTACGATTTCTGCGCCGAACGACGTCATCTGGAAGCATGAGTTGTATTTCCTGATGTTAGATAGGAAATGCTTTGATTCGGCGGTGTATCCGGCAAGCAAAGTTTTTAATGGCTCTGGCGGTTCTCCAAGTTGAGGCAGTTTAATTTTTCCCGCGGCGCAACACATTCCCTTCGCTTCTCCATTAACTTTCAGAGCCTTGCAATAAGGACACATTTCAGTCATAGTGCCGATGAGAACACGCCGGCTGAAACTATAATCTTCAGCTGGGCTGTACCGGAATGCAAGGCGACTGTAATCGCGTGATTGCTGAGCACGGAGTCGTGTTTGACGCTGATCTGCTGTTTCTCGTTGACGTCTTTCAGCCACTCTCAGCCTGTCGCGTTCATTCTGTTGAGAACGAAGCAGAGCTGAGGCTGCAGAACGCGATCGCCGTGCTCGCAACCGCGCATCCTCAAGTCTGGCTGCACGTCGCTCTCCTGCTTCATCGGCACGTATTTGAGCCATTCTTTGTCTCTTTCGCTCGTTCGCTGATGCCCGTTCTTCGCCAGTTTGATTTGCAATTACTCGACGCCTTGCTTCCGCCCCGCGAGTACGACAACCTAAGTTTGATCTTCTGCGAGGCATTATTTTGATGAACTAAAGCAGATCGATTGTACTGAAGAAGGCGAAAGAAAGTTATAACAAAAACATATAAAATTGCAAAACATTAAAAAAGGAAAGATCACGAACTGGAAAACAAAGAAACAAAAAAAAAAACTAACGATATATTTCAATTCAAACGCAGATCAATCGACACAGCTCAATCCCACCG